TAAAATTATTGTATCATCAAAATACAATCACAACAACCATCTGAAACAAAAATGAATGACATTGATATCCTGGCATCAAAGATAAAGAAGATCACAATGCTATGTAGACCATTGTGATGACAATCATGTCACAACAAAACCATCTGAAACAAAACCTATTGCAGACTCAGTGAGAGGAGTTATTAATAATGGATCATGAATTTTCCTGGCTTCAAACTGGAGATATTGCATCTTCAATGAAATTGCATCACAATGCTATGTAGACCATTCATGATGTGAACTCAGTTACCATGATGTCACAATCAAATGGTACCTTTAAACAGTATGGAATATTGCCCTGTCCTACTGAAGCTGGTGAATTGTACTTCTGCACTCAACACACAGCTTACTTTTAAGACTGAAAACGTTGGATGATAAATAAAATATCACCCTTGTGTCTTTTAATATCATATATATTTACACCTGTCAATGGAAACTTAAAATTCCTCTGCAAACATTTGATATTTAGGCTTTTATCAACTCTTCAAATGTTTGAGATCACTTATATTTGACTGTACAGCCTGCGGTTATGTTTCCTGCATGCATGACTGTACAATCTGCATAGGGTCTAACAGCAGTGTATAAAATAAGCCCAAAACCCCAGCCAGACATCAGGGCTGGTAACTTCAAAATGTTACCAGTCCAAAATGGATTTAACCAGACCAGACACCAAGATATGACTCAGATGTATATAACATCTAAAAAAAATTACCAGACCATCAAGGCTGGCTAGCTGTAAATATAGACCGTACATCTGAAATGTAACCCGTCTCAGGCGGTCGGAGGGACCTTATTTCAGACACTGCTAACGGCCTTATGTGCCACTGAATGAGGGCATGGCAAGGTTTGACTTCAGGGCATTGTGATGTCATCATGATGCATGTGCTGAAGCAAATGACTGTAATTTGAGAAATGATGACCCTCAACTGTACACCTTTCAAGACAATTCATCCCTTTGTTAAAAGCTAGAAACAAATATTATATATTGATATCTTTAATTATATATATGGTTGTCAGTTGGCCATAATGGCTGCCTTCTGTGTATAGTACACCTATGATGTGTTTACTTTCTGGCCAACTCTTAACCCTTGGTTAATCTGCACTGTACTCCTCCTTGTGCATTTTGCACAGGGGTAAATATACTATTCCACTTTTGTTAAGGATATTTTTACTTCCATGATCTGCCAAGATGATTTTCATAATATTTCGTGTATATTTAACCATATCCGACAGATATAATTGTCCTTATCAAAAGATGAATAGTATATGTTAAACAAAAATGTTAAGAATCAGTATTATTTTGGGGGATATATTTGCAGTTAAGACTGAGCACACCAGTTCATAAAAATATCACTCGAAAAAATTCATGATCCTTAATTTTTTGTACAGTATATGTACAACCTTTCACATATGACAGTCCTCAGATATTGTCAGTATTTCTGATAGACCACTTTGACTGATTCTGGTAAGAGCAGCTTTAACCCAGCACCTTTCACTAACTGCATGACACACCCAGAGCTCATCCTCCTGTGTCCAGTGTCTAATATGTTCCTCCTATGTACGGGGTGGTGGGGTAGCCTATATATGCTCCTGGGGACCTGTTCGACCACATGGGTACAAGTGTTATTCTGAAAGGCCGGATATTGCTTAAAACCAAACTCACTCACTCACGCTCCTGATGTACCCTAGGGACTGTTCACCACTACAGCTTTATTCTGGAAAGGGGCCTAGTGCTTAAAGCCTTCGCTCGTCACGCTGAAGACCCTGGATCAATCCCCACATGGGTACAGTGTGTGAAGCCCATATCTGGTGTCCCCCTGCCATGTTATTGCTGAAATATTGCTAAAAGCAGCGTAAAACCAAACTCACTCATTTGGGAAATGTCATAAACGTCTCGGTGGTCACTATCAGTTTAATATCAATAGTTAATAAAAACCCTCTTCAGAACCCAAGCATGGAAATGGATTCAAAATATTTACCTCATACAAATGACCTCACTATCTTGAATTAAAATCTCATCTTCAACTTGGGAATTATTTTTAACCTGAATATTTATAGGCATAGCTTTATGTTTAGCCCCAGTTCAGATATTTTAAATAACAATTTACCAAGTCTTGTTATGGTAATAACTTTAGTGATGTTTCTTCACACAGCTTGCTCTGATTTTGCTGATAAACACAACAACAAAAACAAACAAAAATCATATGTTTGGTTTTGCATAAAGAGAAATGTTAAAATACCCCTGAATTTTCAAAAATAAGGGCTATCAAGAAAATCCTAATTTTGATCAAAATTTCTTTCTCTTGAATTAAATTTTCTAATCTTGAATAAATCCCTTGGAATCCCTGATTCAGTCATAGAAGACCATTTAAGTTGGAAAGCTTTGGTAGTAGTATAGTGGAATTATCACAAGAGTGCTAATCCCATATCAATATCACTCACTCACATGCATTCAGTAGTCACATGTTCATTCTAAAATCTGTTCACATGTTCCTCCTTCCTTGTAGCCTAGTGGTTAAAGCGCTATTTGTCACGCCATAGACCCGGTTCAATCCCCACATGGGTACAATGAGTGAAGCCCATATGATATTGCTGGAATATTACTAAAAGTGGCGTAAAACCAAACTCACTCAGTCAGTCAGTCAGTCAGTCCTTCATTATGAAAAACATCAGCATATGAAGAACTGTTTCTCAAATATTCTACTTGACTTAGACTTTTCACAGGGCTATGTATTTCTATCTTTTCATGAAGCACAAAGCTGGTTCTCAAATCATTTCATGTGTATCCTTAAAAAGAGTGATAATTAACCGTATCAAAAGTTGAGTTGTGTATAATTTCCACTGCCACTCAGATACACAAGGATGACCCAAGTACCGTTAATGCATGGTTAATCCTGTATCAAATAACTCGCTCACTCACTCACTCACTCACTCACTCACTGGGGCTGTGGGGCGGTGGGGTAGTCTAGTGGTTAAAGTCCCCGGTTTGAATCCCCACATGGGTACAACGTGTGAAGCCCATTTCTGGTGTCCCCTACGCGATGTTGCTGGAATAATGCTAAAAGCGGCCGAAAGCCAAACTCTGTCACTCACTCACTCACTCACTCACCGGCTGACCCTTGTACATTAGTATAGAGCAACCTTTGGAAGGGATAGTCTCTGTCTTTCCTTGTCGAATCTGTTTCTCATGGTATGTCAAGTGTAAACTTAAATGGAACGATATTTGATTATTCCTATCCAAAGAGAAATGCCTATAAGAAAATCCAAGCATGAGGTCCATGTGACCAATGTCACTGTGCCCAAGTTTTGTGCCCTATTATGATAGGGGTCATGGGTCCCAGTGAGGGTTCCAGTGAAACCCCTTATCTAACTGGCGTGCTGGTCTGCTTGGGGGAATTAACTCAGCAAAGAGTCCGAAGTCACAAGAAGCTAATCACAATTTGACCTACAAGAATGGAACAACATGGGGTGGCATTGATTCAGTTTTCAGTCAGGGGTTTGCCTGGCCCAGACGACATGTTGTGATATAGCGGAATATTGCTGACATGGGTGTATATCGCCATTTGTTCATTACATATATTGCTTGGCTCAAAAGCGGGGTGTATTGCAGTCTAACTCGAAAACTTGAAAACATAAAATACTCAATGAAACACTGATCATAATGAAAACGTCAGACCAACTCTGAGAGGTGTGCAAGAAAGGATGGAGACGGCACAGCACAGGTTAATGAATCAATAACTTTGTCGGCACTTGTGCACATGCTTCTCTAACACCTGGCTGTCCTTTTCTCTGCACTCCTCCCTCGTAACAAATAGTGAACTGTGTCAATATTTTAATGATAGTTTGTTAAACAACTTTTTTAATTTTAGGACAAAAATTCTGCAAACAAATCACAGAGTTGGTCTGATATTTTGATTATGATCAGCGTTTCATTGAGTATTATATGTTTATTAGTTTTTGAGTTAGATTGCAATTCATCGGTCCGCTTTTGAGCCAAACGCACTATACATACACTGAATGTATCGGGCTTAGAGCTTCCCCTTCCTCAACTGTTAACATTGATGACCCTGTTGAAGCACCTGTTATACAGCCGAGTGAGTGAGTGAGTGAGTGATTTGATACATGATTAACCATGCATTAATGATACTTTGGTCATCCTTGTGTATCTGAGTGGCAGTGAAAATTATACACAACTCAACTTTTGATACGGTTAATTATAACTCTTTTTAAGGATACACATGAAATGATCCTGAATTTTCAGATTACAATCCTTGGACTGGTGTGGGTTACATGGAAGTGGTACTTTTGTTTCCAAGTGTATTTTATGCATCTCAGTATGTTTTTATGTGCATCTTTATGTAATTTACTGATACAATTTCACTTGTACAACACACTCCCTTGTGGGTAATTAGATATGATGAATGTCTGCACTGTGGGCTCCCCTCTAGCATTATGTCTCTGTGGAATAACAGTGTAACTCTTTTTTTATTCCTTTTTTTTCATCACTCGAAGATAGGTTAGATTTTCATTTTTACAATGTGTGAAGCCCATTTATTGTGTCAGCAAGTGATATTGCTGGAATATTGCATAAAGTTGCGTGAAACTAAACTCAGTCAGTCAGTCAGTACATATGGGGCTGTGGGGTAGCCCAGTGGTTAAAGCATGGTTACACCAAAGATCTGGGTTCGATTCCCTACATGGGTACAATATGTAAAGCCCATTTCTGGTGTCCCCAGATATTGCTGGAATATTGCAAACAGCGGCATAAGACCCAACTAGCTCATTCACTCATAGTATACACGGAGACAGAACCACAGTTTTCAAATGGCTAAGGGTCCAACAAGCCTGGTATTCACTCACTCATTAATTCCACCATGTTGGTTCTGGTAACCAGGGGCACAAGGTGTCCTCCCTAACATTAGGTAGAACTAACATCATAACATACTAACCCTGTGTTTCAGACGATGACTATTACTATGATGACGACCTGGACAACACCACCCCACCCCCCATCATCCACGACCGCCCCGCCCGCCAGCAATCTTCACCCGTGGAGAGGTCAGCCTTCCAACCACCTATGCCAAATGGACGACCAAGTAAGATCATTATTTATGAACCCATTAATTCAGTTGGGGCGGCTGGGTAGTCGAGTGGTTAAAGCGTTGGCTCGTCACGCCGAAGACCCGGGTTCGAATCCCCACATGGGTACAATGAGTGAAGCCCATTTCTGGTGTCCCCCGCCATTATATTGCTGGAATATTGCTAAAAGCGGCGTAAAACCAAACTCAGTCAGTCAGTCATTAATTCAGTTGAAGGTGATGGGGTAGTCTAGTGGTTAAAGTGTAAATCCTTTGTTTAAAATAACTTTTGTTTAAGGCAAGGAAAAATGGATGAAAGATATGTATTTCCTGCAATATGGAATGCACCATTACCTCCAGATATCCTTGATAATAAGGGGTGGTGGGGTAGCCTAGTGGTTAAAGTATCTGCTTGTCACGCCGAAGACACAGGTTCGTTTCCCCACATGGGTACAATGTGTGAAGCCCATTTCTGGTGTCACCCGCTGTGATATTTTCTGGAATATTGCTAAAAGTGGCGTAAAAAACATACTCACTCACTACTTCAGTTGCCATGAAAGTTCTTAGCTTTTATATCAGAATTGATAAATGTCGTTAAGCAAAGAAGATGAAAATTAAATGAAGAATTACTTTGCGAAATGGATCCAGAGGCAGGTCGAGGATCTTCGATATTTTTTTAAAGTTTGCAGGGGGTGTCAAGGAATTTGTCACATTCAGGATTTATTTACAAATGGGTTAAATACTGATCTTGGGATGGAGTGGGTATATGTAAAACTCTCTTGAGCCACTACTGAGCTGGATGTCTGGTTGTTTGTTATCTATCACCACATTCAGCAATATTCTAGTGGACTAAAATATTCTAGTCTGGACCAGACTGTCCAGTGATTGAAATCATGGTCATTGATCTATGCAGTTGGGATATAATGAAGTGCATCAACAAAGTTTGAAAGCCTGACCTTGATAATTAGGGGCGGTGGGGTAGCCTAATGGTTAAAGCATTTGCTCATCATGCAGAAGACCAAGTTTTGATTTCCCACATGGGTACAATGCATGAAGCCCATTTCTGGTGTCCCCCGCTGTGATATTGCTGGAATATTGCTAAAAGCGTCGTAAACCTAAACTCACTCACTCACTGAATCTAGCTGCTCTTGTCTGTCAGGGTCCAGAGATAAGACCCACCAGGACATCCTCCAAGATGAGCTGAGGGAGAAGATGAACTCTAAGGGCATCCTGCAGCAGCAGCAGGTGCCCCCTCTCAAGCTCCGCCCACAAGGAGCCAACGTCTACATCACCCGGAACTCCTCACCCCATGAAGTCAAGGAATGGCTGGAAGCTAAGGGATTCTCAGACTTGTAAGAGGAATATTATTAGATATTATTAGCAAGTAATTACTGTTCATATTAAAATAATGTCCGCTGGGGTAGCTAAGTGGTAAAAAGATTCACTTGTCATGTCAAAGGCCGGGGTTTGATTCCCCACATTAGTTGTATGGAGTATTTCCTTAATATTGTTAGGGAGGTGGGGTAGCTTAGTGGTTACAGTGTTTGCTCATCACGGCGAAGGCCCGAGTTTGATTGCCCACATGATTTAAACGTGTGAAGCCCATTTATGGTGTCCCCCACCATGATATTGCTGGAATATTGCTAAAAGTGGAGTAAAACCATACTCACTCACTCACTTAATATTGCTAAAGCCGGGGCGGTGGGGTAGCCTAGTGGTTAAAGCGTTCACTCATCATGCCGAAGACCCGGGTTCGATTCCCCACATGGGCACAATGTGTGAAGCTCATTTCTGGTGTCCCCCACCGTGATATTGCTGGAATATTGCTAAAAGCGGCGTAAAACCATACTCACTCACTCATTCACTATTGTTAAATCTGTGTGATTTCTATAAAACCATTCAATAAACCATGTAACGGAGCTGAAATTTAATGCTTTTCACTTTATACCATGGATGATGGGTTAGCCTAGTGGTTATAGCATGTAATTTGTATTATAACAGAATACTTTAGCAGAAAACCATGGAGAAATAAATAGACAGTGACATGTATTTTAGCAGGGTCAGGTCTGCTTGTTATGTAAACAGATGTAAACCTGCAATGGGAATCAGTGGAGGAGGTCTCATTACATTTTGTGGAGCACAATAGTGCAGTGGTAAGGCATCTGCCCATAAAGCTGAAGGCCCGGGTTCGATCCCCGGTGGAGGCACCTAGGTTCGGGTCCTGATGTGGGCACATTTGCGTAGTATCCTTGGACAAGACACTTAGATCCACATTGTCTCAGTTTACCCAGCTGTAAAATGGGTACCGTGAGGATGTGCTGGCAGTGTGACTGTTTAGTTCATTGCGCCTAACAGGCAGCATGGCTGAATGATCCCCAGGGAGTTGAAAAGTATTGGAAAGTACGATAGTGTCCTATGACCGGGGATAGTAACGTACGTAGCGCCGTGAGCAGGCAATGTGCCAGGATATGTACGCCATGTTAGCAGACTATTACTATTACTGGACAGAAGGACTTGCCCGAACACCTCCCGTTCATGGACATTCTAAAACGTTCGAGCGAACAGCGCATTGAAATTGACATTTTTCACCTGCAACACATGCAGATTAGCACGTGGTTCTAGGCAACTTATTTATAGCTCTGATCAGAACACACATGTCATCTCTCTTGTGGCTGCTTCACTTCAGTTCTTGACTTGTATGAGAGCAGTCACACTTTGTTGACTGTCTCCTTTTGTGTCTTTCTGGTATAATTGAATGAATTTGAAGTAACTCTTGAATATTTGTGTCTAACTTGTAGACATTATTTGATAAACTGTTATCCTTTGACTACGTGTTTACCAGCTTCCACTATGTCCAATTGCTGTCTAAACCATTGGTCCTGTAAGTTCTGCTCTGCCTCCAGATGTATCAGGACCTTGCACGGATACAGTGCGCAGGAGTTGTTCCAGCTGAAGAAGCGAGACTTTGAGAGATTCCTCGGGCATGATGAGGCCGTGCGACTGGATGGCCAGCTCACCATACAGAAGAAAACGTCAGGGGTAGGTGCCATTGTTATACAATCATAATCACACTTTCATGAAAAAGCCCATTTATCCTATGCTTGACAAAACATACCTAGGTCCTCACATTGGCCACTCAGCTTGTATAAACAAAGGTATAGGCGTTCTCACACTGCTAATTACCTACCATTTAGCAAGTGCTAGGACCAAAGAGATTACCAGTAACAGGATGTTAGTTGTCAACTGGCCATTGACAGGTTGATGGGCTATTTTAGTCAAATATGGGGAGAGGATGTCGGATTGTACAGTGTGATAGTGTCATTGGGACCAGAAAATGGTGTGAGAATTCGGAATGTACAAATGTCGGATAATTCAATGTTTAAATGATGATAATATAGAAGAACACTGCTGGGACCAAAAAATATATGTCGGAATTCACAGATTGTCGGATAATTTAGATGTCGGATGATACAGAGTCTACTGTACTTGTTTCTAGGACACTCCCAATATTGGGATCATCCTCAGTAGTGCAGGGAATTATGTCTTCACAATGCTCATGGTTGTGCGCCTACAATTTTTAAGTCGAGTAACGTGATATCACTGCTTGTTTCATTCGCAAAAAATCAGATAATTTTGATTGGATAGCTATTTTTAGCTCTGTATCTTTCAACAACATTCGGAATTATAAGTTAGGGTGGTGAATGGGTCCATAATTGAAAGACCAGAATAATACACTGGATAATAGAAGATGGATACCTGTTGTTATAAAACAGCCAATATTCACCCTTGTTCTCTAAATAGTCAACAGGAACAATTTTATATGGATAGACATCTTTATTGCAATGGATGCAACCTTTTGGTGTAGATGCTGACACCATCATGAAGCAAGTGAAGATAACGGTGTTAGCAGCTACAGCAAAGCGTCAACCATCATGAAGCAAGTGACATGTGTTAGTTGAATCCCATCATGGGTACAAGTGGCGATGTGAAGCCCATTTCTGGTGTCCCCAACCATCATGAAGCAAGGAATATTGCTGTTAGCAGCTACACCAAAAACCAAACATCATGAAGCAGTGGCGTCTAAATAGTCAGCAGGAACAACGTCAACCATCATGGCTAGACATATTTATGCATTAGCAGCTACACCAAAGCGTCAAGTGAAGCAAGTGACGATAACGGTGTTAGCAGCTACACCAAAACATCAACCATTTTGTGTTAGATGCAAAATCAACCATCATGAAGCAAGTGAAGATAACGGTGTTAGCAGCTACACCAAAAGCGTCAACCATCCGAAGCAAGTAATAGCGGTGTTAAGTTACACCAAAGCGTCTATCCACAAAAATGTGGACGATAGCGGTGTTAGCAGCTGTTCACCATTCAACTTCTAAATGCCACTCAAGGTGTCTTTTGATATCAAATATATCACCCGCGAAGTTGGTAACAAATATAGGCTTGCTGAGGATATTTTTACTTTATCAACAGTGTTGATATTTGATATCAGAAGACACAAAGGTGAGATTCTATTTATCATCAAAAATCACTCTTCATTAGTTTTCAATGAAAAATGTACATCTCTGAACACAGTACTGCCATTAAATTTGCAGTGCAGCAATGTCATAGCATTGTGACGTCATCAAGTTGATGACGTCATAGCATTGTCAGGGCATTGTACAAAATCTACTGTCAAAACGATATCTCCTAGGAGATATCATCTGATCTCATACAAGCGATATCTACTGTGGAACACAGTTTTGGATGATAAAGAAGTTGTCTATCCATAAAAAAAAAATTCCTGTTCATCATACCAGCTTCTAAATGCCACTCAAAGAAGTTGAAACTCTAAATAGACATCACTCTACTGGTGGTCAAAATAGGTTTTCAGATGCTGTGAGGGACAATTTTTGTCACAGTCATACTTTTGTACAAACACAAAATAAATCATTTCATAAAAATAATGTTGTACAAAGATCACAGAATAAAGTTATCTGCTTCAACAATGTTTAACTGATTTTCCACCACAAGTAAGACAGTTTCTTCTGAGGAACATTTTGATTATTAACCAGTTTTGTCTGTGTGAATGTATGTAATACTGGAACTTGTGTAGTTCGAGACACGGGGTGGATCGGAGCTACGGGCCATTCTACAACGGCAGAAGGAACGAGCAGCCACCAGCGCCAACGACGAAGCTGCCATGGGCCAGCCTCCAGATTCCGACCAATCACACCCTCGGATGACGAGGACTCTGACGGTAAGGACTGAGTCATAGGATTGTGTGGATTTCTGTGTTGTGCTTTTTTCATCCATTAGCTGACTTGGTATATAATATTGAACTATTTATCAGTTGTGTATTTTCATTGATAATCAACAGAAAGTTGATAAACAACAGTGAGCTGTCTTGACCAGCATGACAAACATATGTCATGTCAGTATCTCTATAAAGGTCACCGGCTGTGGGGTAGCTTAGTGTTTAAAGTGTTTGCTCGTCATGCCAAAGACCTGGGTTTAATTCCCCACATGGGTACAAAGTGTGAAGCCCATTTCTGGTGTCCCGCAATGATATTGCTGGAATATTGCTAAAAGCGGCATAAAACTAAACTCACTCACTCACTATAAACTTCAGGTTAAAGGGTATTCTGACAGCCATTTGGCCCAAGGCAAGCTGAGTTTTGTCCAACCAGCTAGGTGCTGGTCCAGAGAGTTCACTGCAGAATGCATGTTTGATAAGTGCATGTGTATAATAAATATAATGTATTCTTATAATCTCATATGCATGTCAGATATACATGATAACATGTTTAATTTGATGCGCGAACATTTATTCAGTTATACCAGTGAAAGTATTACTGTTTCTTTTTGTCATTTTTTGAATAATGTAATTTCATGTTCAGTTTATCTATATAATGTACATATTTGTCATGTAAAATCCCATGAATGTTTTTATTGTCAGAGATTTTTTGTTGGTTGAATTTGGATTTTTTAGTTTCGATGCATCTATAAACCATGCTAAAAATATTGGAGGCCATCTTTGTCCTGATGTCATGGCTATATCCTTAGTCCATGTATGAAAGTACACATAATGTATCCCCCTCTTTTCTCTCAGTGTTTGACTCTGATGGTAACCCTACACACAATCATATGCACATACAAATCTTGCTGCTACACTGGGTATCGGGTCTGGTGTGGACAAGGCTCTTGCTGAGATATACCTGCCCCACTCTGAAATAACTAACATAACCTTCAATAACTATGAGTGAGGGAATTGGGTTTTAATAAACCTCCGGCAATACTCAAGCCATGTCATATGCTGGGACACTAGAATTGTGCTTTATACATTGTACCCATGAAGTTTTTGAAAGGCATTTAGAAGTTGGACGAACATGAATACATGACACATTTTTGTGGATAACAACTTCTTTTTATTCTTTATACAGCGTTTCAGAGCTAATTCTTGCACCTTCATCAGGTGAAGCTCAGAAACATTGTATAAAGAATAAAAAGAAGTAGAAGTTGTTATCCATAAAAACGTGTCATGTATTCATGGTAGCCATGTGGGGAATTGAACCCAGGCCTTTGATAAGCAGATGCTTGAATCACTATGCCATCCCATCCCAGATATATCTGGGAGTTAAAACAAGTAGTACAAGCCTTTTGGAGAGGAGTTCAGTATGGTGCTACATTTTGGGTACGGACATTCAAAAACAGTTTGAGGGCAAGATATTGGAGACGTGAAGAAATGAACAGAACAGGGTGGGGACGGGGCTCACCCCATCTTGGATATCAAGTCTATTTGTATGGTTGAATAAGTGCTCCCTATTATATATTTTCAAAGAACCAAGGGTGTTACCATGGCAATTACTGTATTTGGTTGTCTTATGTCAGAGATGCTGGAAATTAAGGGAATAGAATTAAAAAAGGGGCAGATTGTCTCTCAATAGCCTTGTCTTACTGCTGAAAGTGTAATGCATATGCACAGACTGGATTAGAGGTAGCATCAAGACAATGGAGTGAGTGAGTGAGTGGCACCAATATTGGGCAAGTGTGAGTGAATGAGTGAGTGGACACCAATATTGGGCAAGTGTGAGTATATATGAATTTTCCCAGTGTGAGTTGCCACCATTATTTGGCAAGAGTGAGTGAGTGAGTGAAGCCAGTACATTGCATGGTGTTAGCGTTAGCTGCATGTGTTTCCTTGCCTTACAGAAGACTCGGACAATGGTGAGTTATTGGGTAGAACTGACTTCATCTTGATCTCTTGTGTTTTTACTCTCGTAACAGGCTACCGGAGAAAGATAATATTTGTAAGATAATGTTACACCATATCAAGTTATTTATTTGTACACTATACAACACATTCATCTGGAATGTTTATTGGTTAATGAAAACTCCACATTTTCACCCACATTTCTTTATTTGTATGAGAAATGACACATCTTTTCCTGGATATGCCACACATCTTTTTCTCTATAAAGAATGATTATCAATAGATTTATGATTATCAGTCTATGTTTGTTTTAAAGGTCACAAAATCACTAATTTAGACACACATTATCAGATTTATTATATGAATGGTCGTCATATGATCGAAATATTCTCCAGCTTAAACCCAATCTCACCTCTGTACTATAGAATGTTGTTTCTATGGACTACTTCTACAGTCTATCTGTCTGAGATATGGATGTCTGATGTCTATATGGGGATGTTCTAGAGGTATCGGTCTAGAGATTTGTCTAGGTATGTCTGTTTGGGGATGTTCTAGAGGTATCGGTCTAGAGATTTGTCTAGGTATGTCTGTTTGGGGATGTTCTAGAGGTATCGGTCTAGAGATTTGTCTAGGTATGTCTGTTTGGGGATGTTCTAGAGGTATCGGTCTAGAGATTTGTCTAGGTATGTCTGTTTGGGGATGTTCTAGGGGGTAATGTTCAAGAGATTTGTCTAGGTATGTCTGTTTGGGGATGTGTCTAGAGAGTATCGGTCTGTAGAGATTTGTCTAGGTATGTCTGTTTTGGGATATCTAGAGGTATCGGGTTTAGAGATTTGTCTAGGATGTCTGTTTGTGGATGTCTCTTTAGAGATATGTCTTGATATGTCTGTTTGGGGATTGTCTCTTGAGTATGTCTAGGTATGACTGTTGAAACATGTTTGTCAAGGGGTGTTGGGGGATGTCTGTCTGTGGGGTGTGAGGTATTGGGGGAATGTTTATCAGAAGGTGTCTATGTGTGTCTGTTTGGGGATGTGTCTGTTCAGATATCTGTGTATGTCTGTTGGGGAGTATCTGTCTGTTAAGAGGTGTCTGTCAAGAGATGTCACTTGGGGATGTTTCTGGAGTTGTCTGTCGAGGTATATCTGTCAAGAGGTGTCTGTCAAGAGATATCTGTCAAAGTATGTCTGTCTGCAGGTATCGAAGGTATGATATCTGCAGATGTTATAGTTTGAGGTGTCCGTCAAGGGACATGTTTGGATGGATGCTTTTCAGAGATAGATCTTTCAAGAGATTTGTAACATGTGTCAGTTTGGAAATACTTGTCCAAATGTCTATCTATGGATGTCTGTCTAGATGTGTCTATCTAGATGTGTCTATCTATAGTTGACTGTCTATAGATGTCTGTCAAGGGATGTGATTTAAACATTAGTCTAGATGTGTGTTTCTACCAAGATACATCTATGAATGTCCATTTAGGGATGTGTGACTTCAGTCTGTCTAGATGTGTGTTTCTACCAAGGATACATCCATGAATGTCCATTTAGGGATGTGTGACTTCAGTCTGTCTAGATGTGTGTTTCTACCAAGGATACATCCATGAATGTCCATTTAGGGATGTGTGACTTCAGTCTGGCTAGATGTGTCTAGGCATATCTATCTATAGATGTCTGTTGATAGATTTGAGTTGATATATGTCTCTCAAAAGTTGCTTTTCTAAGCATATCTGACAGAGAATTCCGTCAATAGCATCAGTTCCAGGATGTATGTAGACGTCTGGCCAGTGATTCCATAACACCTGGCATGAAGGGTGTAGCCAGTTTCTCTGTGTGTCTGTGTTACTGTGCACTGATTCTGTAGATGACGCTAGCCAAAGATCACAGCATCTGGAGATGGTCCTTCACATAGTCACTGTAGTCCAGTAGACTAACACAGCCACACTGCCATAGCTAATGTATAGTCAGCTGCTGAAAAATCTCATCCATTACAATCAGATATTTTACTCCATTACAATACCTCTCTGCGTGAAGATCTCACACCTCCACAGGAAGGTCAGGAGACCTTGCTAGTCAGCTAATCAGTGACAAGGGTTCTAAATTATTGGTACAGGTGTGTGAAGCTTACTGAAAAGCAGGTCTCATTTCTGTATCTCGAGAACAGACACAACCAAGGAGTTAAGGCAGCAATAGCATCACTCTGAGCTATTACACCGTTGATTTTATACAACATATCATTTTGGAAAACCATAGTACCGGTATCCCACAGGGTGTACTATCGATAGTAATTTGTATCTATGGGGCGTGACTTTTGCTAACATCAAAATGTATTGATGATAGGTGGTAAAGAATGGGTTTGAAAGCAAACATCTTATTGGCTGAAGAATCCACCTATTCTTAATTTCAAGCGGACAGCAATGGTTGACTCAAGGTTCATCTGACGGGACCTTCTGTGAAAGTATCGTGAGATGTTTATGCAGAGAGCAATCATACCAAGAGGAAGGATCTGATTTTATTGGAGTCAGTCAAATAATCCCTTCCAGAATCTGGAAGCTCTCACTGTTTCTTTATGCAAAAAAAAATGATGTTTCTGCTAACATTGATTTCCAAAATTAGGATAATTTGGTTGGTAAATCATTTTGACGATTTGTATGTCTTGCTCAACTGAACGACAGCTATATGTCATGGCACATTGTCTGTTTTATCAGTTGTTCATGTGAAAATGTCACAAAGACATGTGGCATTGGGATTCAAATTGAGATAATCAACTCATATGCATCTCAACATGTAACTTCTATGGATAACCAAGCTGTTCTTATTTGCTTGAATATTTCAGGGTAAGAAAAAGCCCTGAAACATTACAAATAAGAATGAAGATTTTATCTTTAAAGTTTCATTTTTTTCATTTTGTATAAATTTGTTTTGTGTATCAAAGAGTCAAAGTTTGTTATATGCCCATGACATTTAAATACGGTTTATATTTTAAGTTTCTTGTGATTCCACTTGTAATATAAGTATCCTTATTGTCACCAACAAATATTCAATGTGAGATTACATCAGCTAAAAATCAGTATAACTCAAGTATCAGTACACTGTGCGTGTGTGTATTTTTAAGTGTGATTGTGTTTTGTTTCAGATTCATCCAATGATCCACACCTAGCAGAAACTGGCAAAACCCTCAGAGATCTGCTGATCAGACAACGCAAGAAAATCATGGAAAACAATGTGTTTGACAACCCTGGACAACAGCACTGAGGGGAGGCTACTCTCGCATGGATCACAAAGGGAGATAACTCCAAAGTGTCTTACGATTGAATCACATTGATCTGTCCATTGATTCAGTCTTCTCCTGTTGAGAATAAATGATAAACATTAATAACTGGGTTAGCTGTAACACACAGCTAAAGACTAAGCCATTGACAGTAAATCATTACAGGTGTTACTCAGAATATGTCCATTATGTATTTGCTTCAGATCAAATTGTTTGTATCTGTGTTTTACAGAATTGATTATCAAACATCTTGAAATATTCTCCCTTGGTCCAAATATGAAAATAATAATGTTGCGAATCATGGCACTGATGTCATCATCTTAGATGGTTATTATGATGATTTATTGCATTCAGTTATACAACACCTGTTCATAATGACATAACAACCATATGCTCATTTCCTCAAAATATTACAGACCTACATGGTTGTTTAAAGTGGGTCATTGGTGTAATTTGACCACAAAATACCTTGTATACAGAATATGCTTGTATAGCAGCAATACCTGGATGCTTTAAAGGAACTTCAGAACCATTCTGAGAAACATGTTGATCTATCTAGCATCTGAAGACAGAATACCGTGCAAGATAAGCAATATACTTGTATAGCAGGGCCTTCTTTCACAAAGAGCTAATGTGGTCATAAATGACTAAGGTGACCTTATGGAAATGGGAGTAAGGTTAACGTTAGTAGAGGCTGCTTCGTGAAAGTAGCCCCAGGATTTGAATATATGGCAAGCATGAACTTTTATAGGACATTTGACTAGTTGTTTGTAAATAGGAGGTGTGGTTAAGATATAAAATGCTTGCACATAATTCAGGAAAACATTTGTGGTTATAGGCCCAAAAAAATGTCAATTAATGTCTATTTATACTGACAATATGCCACCATATGATTTGATTATATGTTTTATTATGTGTCAATATGATTAGTATGCTTTGAGAAGGGTTTGAGCGTCTCTGCTCATCCCTCAATGCATAGGTAGCTTCAGAAACATTCCTCAAATAATTTTCTAAATATAGTTGAACCTATTCTGCTGTTGAAAATATCTTGATTTTGTAACTAAAATATGTCATGTCAAAAGAAAGTTAAATGAATACTTTTTTTTCAAATTTATTGATGAGTAATATCTTGAACTTGATTTAAATTTGAATGTTATGACATTATTGTCTCAAATACTTTGCTCAGAATTTTTTTCAGATTTTCTGTTTTGCTCAGCGATAAACTTGCCATACACACTTTGAGCAGAACATATACTCAGTTGTTCATCCTTTCTGTACAAATTGCACATGTTAGAAAATCAACATAGCTTTAATCAAACCAGTGTAATATCGCTTAGTGCTATTTAATGCGAGCACAATATATTCTAGGTTCTCTTCCAATACCCTCATTTTTATAGAAGATAGTCGTGTTTTGTTGGCTGAGGACATTGTGGTTTCTTTGTAACCATAGTAACACACCTATATAATCAGGAAACAAAATAACGGCTCTTGTGCAACAAATTGTCAGCACCAACTCATCTATATTTAGCCTCATTCGTTTGATTTCAAAATCAGTAATGTCAGTCATTAAAATAGAGCAAACATAAAAAATTTAAAATCACATTTTTAAGTGATTTCTTTCAAGAATATTCGCTGAGATGCTGAGAAGTGAAAAGTGTCAAAAGTATATTTCGCAGTCAGAAGTCAAAGGATTGTTTGTTTTTACATTAATTTGCTTATGCTTTGTTTTTTATGGACTATACAAGAAGAGAACACTACTCACAATAATTAATTTTATGTTTACGAAAATGATTATTGTGAAAATGATGGTTGATACATTATGATTTGATGTAATTAGTTTTAGTCTTCACACATGGCTAAGGTATAAATGACAATTAGAAATAGTCTTTAGGGAAGTAGTTCCTAGTTAATTGTTATTGCTTGTGTCAACCAATACCCTAGTCAGCTTGTTATAACGCTATTGGAGGATATAAACCAGCTTGTAAAAATAGGAGCTTTGTAAACACATTAAAGGTGTAATTAAACAAACAAAACAGCGACTATATGAAGATGTCACAGGCAATTAATGAACACGTCCAGTTTTGTTGAATATCAAATATGGCTGTGGTTGCCCTCCTCTTGTCGTCCAGAAACTACTGGATTTCTGTAATGATAAATACACTTCAATAACCCTCCATAATTAAGACAATCAAAGGTGTTTGTATATAGACTTTAATTTTGTGATATATATTTGTTTTTTGTTTATACACAGGTTCCGACATTTTTCTTCTTGCCCTCAAAAGAATTCAGGATTTCGTTTGGAGAAGTAATGATGTAAATAGACATGTTTGTATTCAAGTTGTGCACTTTTCCATATTATCCAGATTTCAGTTTGTGTGTACCGCTTCCAGGATCGAACATGACTTTAATGAGAGGACACCCTCAACCAAGAAACGAAATCAAACATCAAGACAAAATCATAATACCCAGTTTTCAGTAATACTGGACAAGACAAGTTGATTGATGCTTTGCCAAAATAATTGTTCAATGAAGTGTTTAGTATGTGTATATTATTCAGCTTATATTTTATCCTCTTCTTACTTTTACTAAACTGTAACCAGATTGATTGAAAGAATATAAGTCGTTTTCTCCAGGATGGTCATATTATTGAATGGTACATCCACGGGCATCCACCGGCAATAACTTGTAGGTCATGTTCACCTATTGGAATCTGAAACGTTTAATGACTTCAAAACTTGTAAAAACATTTCACTGCCTACAAAAGATGGACAAACATTTTTCTGATGTTTTAAAAATAATCTATAATTTATCAAAATTGTTGTTTCTTGAATGTTTACATTGAAGAAAATGTGACTGGCTATAAGTACATGCATGTGGGTTACGCTTCACTTTAAAAGCATTTTGTATACTTTTTATACGAGTCCACTTTCAATAGGGCTATTTCTATTTTTCCATGATGTCATTATTTTCCAAGAACATGTCCAGTTTATCTTTAAGAACATCTTACATGTCTGATCACCCCTGTATATACGAAAGGTTGAGTAGAATTATGTTGCCTTAAGTATCGCAAACAGCTTAACAATAGTTAATTTGCAGGTTTCCCTAAACTGCCATTTGTTTATTAAATACCCCCCTTAGAAAATGGAATTATCAAAGGCTTTTTAAGGAAAACTGCTCATTTTAAAAAAAATGTTTTGCTTAAGAAGATGAAAAAAATGATGAAAAATATGTATTTCCTGCGATATGGAATGCACCCTTACCTCCAGATATCCTGGATAATAAGGGGTGGTGGGGTAGCCTAGTGGTTAAAATGTCCGCTCTTCATGCCGAAGACCTGGGTTCGATTCTCCACATGGGTACAATGTGTGAAGCCCATTTCTAGTGTCCCCCCACTGTGATATTGCTGGAATATTGCTGAAAGTGGCATAAAACCTAACTCACTCCTTGATAACAACTCCAACCAATAGGACTCAATATTCTTTTGCTGCAGAAAGGGAAAGACTCATTTAATCAGTACTATAGTCTGTTTGCAGAGAAAACATACCGATGAATTTCACTTTAAACAAAAAAGTAAATCAAATAAAGTAAAATTAAGATTGCATATCCTCATAATTTTACCTTGCCAATTGAACATTTAAATCTCAGAATTTTATTCAACTTAGGATAAAAGTTGTTTAACAAACGATCATAGTTTCAGATTGCTATTATTGGTTTGTATTACAAGGGGTTAAGCACAGTAGTTGGAACAGTTAAACAAATGCACGTGCGGTACGTGACGAGCGTTAACTTAGACCATCCCTGCTTGTTCTCAGTGTTTCGTTTAATGTGCATACCCCCTTGTAATACAAACCAATGATAGCGATGTAAAACTATGATCATTTGTTAAACAACTTTTACCCTAAGTTGAATAAAATTCTGAGATTTAAATGTTCAATTGGCAAGGTAAAATTATGAAGATTCGCAGTCTTAATTTCACTTTATTCGATTTACTTTTTAGTTTAAAGTGAAATTCATCGGTACGTTTTCTCTTCAAACAGACTATACAAGTCTGTAGCATATTCTGTAACTGACCAAATTCACACCAAATATTGTTCCATGTTTTATTATCTAGTGTTATGTGTTCTCCCTGGATGTGATTCCTGTTTGATCACACTGTTGCCAAACCCAGTGTTGTAACCCATGTATTATGTGATATGTATATACCGTATAGTATATAGAAATAGTGCTACGCATAATACAGCAATTCACATAGTATTACTTGCACCAATGTACAACATGCTGCATTCTATTCCTGATGCCATATTGCCTCTAATAAATGCCTGGTGATAAATGCTCCAGTATGTAACAAGTCAGTCTTAACAAGATATTTGGTTAATAAAGTAAACTAAATAAGCTGGGTACATTATTTTCTCGTACTTGGGCTGTAAGTTCATTCAGTCTAAGTCAACTTAGGCTCAGTATTATTCGTTACACTGCTATACTGAGTCTAACAAAACCTAGTAGAAGGTCGCGTCAGCTAACCTTTTGGACTGACCAATCAGAACACAGCTTACCAAATCGCGAAAGTTAACATTCGCACACACCGTTTGAACCTTTACCTAAAAAACTCAAACGATTCCGAATGCTATTTTCCACACGATCGCTTCTGAGTGATACACGCAATGAGTAAACAGTCGCTGAAAATAGCGATTTTGTCAGTATTCAAGGATGTAATCTTGCAAAAATATAAGCAAATAGTAACCATGTCATTAGAAACCCATAAGCGTCTATACTGCAGGTCAAATATCTGTGTTTTATACGGATTTTTGTTTATTGATAGATCAGTGTCAGCGACCTTGGAAGAGAAAATCCAAAAACTGTTTTGTAACTCCCGCCGAATCATAACAAGTAGCCGTGGTCTGATTGGTTAAATCTGTTCGGCAGTCTCACGTTTGA